ACTATCTTTAATTCTCCTTCTATCATCACATGTCTTCATTCACAAGGTTTTCATTATATCTGTCAAGTGCAAACTTACCATGAACACTTCTTCCGTAGTATAACTCCATCTTACGATGTCTTTTAGATTAAGCAATTAACAATGACGATAATAAAATAACTGTAACATTTCAACGTGCTATCAAACAGTGTTAAAATACATTGGGTTGACAAGTGCTTGATTTCTTCCTATAAGTAACGTCCAGTCTGCCTGGAGATTAATAATATCAGAGAAGTAGTACTATAGGCTTATTGTCAATTGATACCGATGTTTGTGCTGTCATTTATTCAAAGTAGAAAGTCAGTCTGTGTCATTGAAAGTTTGCTGTTCACAAGTTTTGAATTCTATTGGTATCTATACTTAGCAGACTGACTAGAAGTACGGAGATATAACTGTGAAAACATGTCGTGATCTCAATATATGAAGTTATTTACCATTTTTCAGTCAGAGATCGTAAGACTGGGATTGCTATTACAAACATTAAAGGTCATAGACTACAGATCGTGAGTGATAGTGGTACGACGATGTTGACTTTACGAAGTGATAAACGGCTAGTGTCGAATACAAGTTCGCTAACTGAACAGAAAAATATAGAAAAGGATATGAGAAATCAACATCATCACTCCGGATTTGTGTCAGTGAGATTCGTGAAAACAGCTATCAGTTACGGGATAGAGGCGATACTGTCGTTCTCAGTTCACACCCTCTGTTTGACCATTGAACTCAGCAATTTGAAATTATGCAGGCAACGGTCAAGTAGGTAATACATGCTTCTGGATATCTTCTGACGGAAGATAGTTTATAGCGATTAAATCTCGGAGAACGTTTCATAGAATACGAGGTACCGTTGGTCCAATACTTCAACGGGGATAGGGTTGTGCACCGATTCCGTGTAATTTCAAAAAAACTCAAGTCCAATACGTTGTATTGACTAGACGAACGATTTAGACGAAATTTAAGATTCCAAAGATTTATGCTTCAAACTCACTGTCAATTTCTGGTGTCCTTGTTTTCACTCCCACCGTGGAAATTGGCAGTCGGAAATTAAGAAGACAAAGGTCAAGTAAGAAAAGAGTATAGAAGTAGTTTGTGGCGAAAATAGCGTATAAAGTGAAAGAGCGAGATGTGTTTATAATCGTTAGCTGATCTTGTCTCGCGTATATGATTGGAAAGTTATTGGTGTCGCCTTGTGGCTGCAATTATGTGTGGACGATATTTTGACAGACTTGTAGTGGCGTTGCGCCCTACCACGAGACAATATGGGAAATAGATATTCTACATTCAACGCATAGAAATAGAGAAGAATGGAGAAAGGCGGGATCAATGAATAGGAATTAATCCGAGTTGATCGGATGGCATGGCTCGGCTCATTCAGGCGTGGTCCCTGCTGAATGTTACCTTATATCATTTATTCATATGAAATATATTGTTCCATCTCTAGCCTGAAATTCATCTCCATCATGTGTTGGTAATTGTTACGATGCAGTGAGTTGGTGTAGACGATGATGTGATTTGCACGTGAGATCTTATAGATTAGGCAGTTACATGATAACAAATGTAGAAGTTTGGGATTAGGTCTATTATTAGAGCAGCACTAATATCATAGTAGACCATACTTCTACAGACTCACTACGCAGGACCATTTGCATGATGCTATAGCTTGTTAACGAACCATGATAGCGAATAACAATCATAGTTGATCAGTCACTTTCATCGATTGAGAGGGGTAGTCATGTCTAAACACACCGATTTTGAGATCAGTCAGAAAATGTTCATAATAATCAACAAACCTTTGAGACAACGGTAGAAATGAAAAATTAAATACAGAGTGCGATTATAAAGATCATAACGGGTTGCGTTACTCAAAGTCTTGCTCACTAGTGTTAATCACTGACATAGATGATCTGCGCCGAATGATTCGGAGATATACATAAATTGTATGAGAGCGACGCCACTTCCCAGCTTACGTCAAAATAATACTCCCTGTTAGTACCAAACTTAAACTACCCCTCCGTCGAGTCTAGGTACTATGGTTTCTTTGACAACTGTGTAACTAAACCGTAACGTTACGACAGAAATATATCAATAAGAACATATACAAGAGCAGAGTGTTGCCGCTGCCGTGTGAGCCAGCCAATGGATTGTACCTAGCTGATGTGTGTTGGTTGTCCTTGACCTTCACAAGAATCGATGGTTTGGCCTATATTCAATGACCCGCCTGATGATTTAGCTGGGGTCTATTACATTACATGGGCTCTACAAACTCAACAAAAACCAACAAATTAGTGATATGCGGAACAATATTTAGTAGGGTAAACTTCAGTCTTCAGCAACAAGGATAGTAGTTTGGCGGGTCTGTGTTAATCCTGACGGTTCGACTTCCAGTGAATGTCTAGCTTCCCCTTTAAAATGTTTACTGAATGGGCTGGTACCACTTATTCGGGTTAGGCGTTCCAGTCTTTGACTACTCTATGAGATAGACGGAACTTCACTTTAAGTTTATTAGACCGTGGTTTGTGAACTTTCTTGCTGTAACATCGGAGATTAGTATGCTGCATAGAGCAAAAAGATAAGACATATTGACACCTAGATTGTAATAAAATATACGGGATGAAAATATAAGGTAACCTCGCGTTATACGATACAACAAGAGGAAAAGGTTCAGGCGTTTGTAGCGCTCACCTTAAGGGCGTTTAGAAAGAGATTTCAATAATTCTCTCCCTCACACACGTAGGACGCTCAAGTGAGTTAGTATCCTTAATCAGGAATAAGCAAGCTGCTTCTACCCACAATTTGTTCACTTTGTTTCCACGATCATCCTCATTACATTTAATCCGAATTTCAACATTTATCTTATCACACTGAGCTATCCGTTTCCTTATCCATCTTTTGATAAACATTCAAGCCATTTACAAACAAACGATTATTAAACTTTCCTTGTTTTAAATTTTTTTAATACCTTTGTTTATTCAACCTCACTGTCACCATGTTTAACTGAAGTTTATTATCCGTATTATTATCATCCTGTAAAAATAAGTATATATATTTGCGATTGTAAAGCTTTGAAAATGAATTCGCCGAAAAGAGAACTCTTCGCTGGACTAATCTTTCTTATTACAGATATTAACATACCTATATATACGAGGGTGACTAAAGATGAATATATGTATCATGATGTAGGGAAGATTTCAATAGAGTTAATGAAGTCATAAAAATTTTGTTTGCGTATAAAGTTTGGAGAGGGAAAATCTAGAACATTTAATTAGTGATTAGAACTTATGGAGTGAACAAATATGAGATAATTATGTAATGAAGCAACTGGTAGCACATTAATGGTAATAAAAAATGAATTGAAATCAGTCAGCTATGAACTGAAGAAAAATGACAGCGATGTGATTAAACCTCAGAATTTGTCAAACTAATAAATGGCGTAATAAATAATAGGGAGCGTAATGTTACCAAAGCAAAGGGATATTTATTATTGCCAATTTTTGAAAACATAGATCTGGTTTAAGCCGTTTGTTTGTTATCGCTTTGGTGAATTTCAGAATATTCGAGTTTGACTGTTTGAAAATCACTTTGAATGATTTCAGTGTATCGACTTCATATCCTGTGTTAGGGAGATGTCTTGCGATTGACCCTATGATGTCATCACCGTTGAATTTATGTCGAGTAAAAATAGGTTTTTAATTTGCTGTAGTTTCTTTAGGCTTTTATCCTCACATTCTTCATACTTCTCAATAAATTTCAGTGGGTATTCTTTATTTCTTAAACATATCTTAACATTCATTACTTTCTCTCTTAGTGTATCGGAAGTATATATTTCTTCTGTTCTGAAAAACAATGTCTCAACGAGTGCACTTTTATAACTGATCGTACAAAAACTATTGAAGTTGAGGAAATCTCAATCCATGTGTCTTTCTTATAAACTGAACATTGAACTGTGCTATCCTTCCTTCGTTCTATCGCGATATCGAGAATATTGAAAATGTTTTCGTTTTCATGTCCCATAGGAAACTGGATATTTGGATGGGATTCGTTGAAATGTTTTAGCAGATTTTTTGCATGCTGTTGATTATTACATATAGTGAAGGTACCACCAACATATCTCGAATAATACATCATTTCATCAATCGCTCCTTTGAGCTTGGCTCTTTTGAGATTAGTCATGTAAACATCCGAGAGGACAGGACCGAACGGACTTTCCATTGCTACACCATTAGAAGATACGATTACAAGTAGTATGCTTTTGAGGTCAGTATAACAACATGACAAGATTGAATAGACTTTTAGGTACGTAGTAAACAGGGCTCAAAGCGATCGTCCCTGTTTCAAATCTTTCGGACGAGTTATTGACAACAGGAGACGTGACATGATTGTCTCTCTAAGCGATACTGACAGTTAATGTTTCAACATCTCTAATTCTCCAACAGCATTTAAACTAAGATTGTGCGATTCTGTGCTCCTCTGAAAATGAAGCCAATTCTTTTATCTTAGTGGCTTTGTTTCACATCCTTTAATACTGATCATATCACATTGACAGACACAGCCAGAATATCTTTAACGCATGTTTCGCCCCTTTAGTTTAGGATAGACGAAACAGAGCACATTCCTCTTTGTTATAATTAACGCATACATGTTACGAAAATTGAGATGAAAATAAACAAACAGTCAATTACTTCTGCTCAGAAAATGTTCAAAAGTTATCAAGGACTGCATTTATTCAAATCCAGTCTGGGTACTTCGAACAGAAAGTCAATTAAGTTCTCCATACCAACTTTCATTCGTTCTTGAGAAACTACATGTCAATTGAGTTGGTTTACGAGCACTGTAGAGAAATATATAACGTCGTCTCATTGAAACCGTTCAATATGTGAGCGCGTATCGTGTAATTATACGTTACCACAATGTTAAAACTACTTGGTCGGTACATTTGATATGGACTGCCAAATTGAATGTAGATGACATCGCAAAAGTTAGTCGCTTGGCAATTCGATAACTGTGTTGTATGACGGCTATCTTATTTGTGATTTTATTACATATATGGGTATCACGTAATAATGTCCAGATTGTCATTTATTTTTAGTTAAAATTTACTACGAATTATCTAACACATGTGTATCATGAGAAAACTTGTCAGAACAATGTAGTGGCTGTCAAGGTGTATAGTTATACTCGCCTTCAGGTCTTCTACATATCTCACCTGAATACTTTGTTTCTACACTTTCGGTAAGACGAAAACTTCGAAGTGAGACAGCAGCTCGAACGTTTCTGTTATTCGTTGTATCTAGATTCACTAGTGGGTAGTGTACATTCACTAGGTTTTCTGATTTGGCATTTTGATTCTTTGCTCGATCTCATTTATGTTTGTTTTAGCAGTATCGCTCACTGGCATCCAAACATTATATATATATATATATATATATATATATATATATATATATATCGTGCTACCTTTTGTATATGCGTTCTATAGTGATGGTGCGGTCTAACATTTATCCCAAAAAGAGTCAAATAAGATCCCATAGAAAGTACTTATTTTGTGACTGACTCGAGAACTAAAAAAGTTAATGTATCTGCATAATGCTGCCGATTTTACATTACGTCTATCTTATCATTTACTAGCTATTACCAAAGACCTCTTTTTGCAGTCGGAAAAAACGGGGCGGACTATTGTCCTGAATGATTGTTTTTTAAGACTGGTAGATATATCACATACTTTACGTGTGAAATTTTGATGAATAACATCGCTTGAGGTTGCCAGACCTGATGAAAGTTTTTCAATAAGCTTCGACTGAACTTATAATATTTAAGCACGGCACCTTTGGAAGGTTGACGTACTTTGATATTATTTTTAATGACGAACAGTGATGAAGTATCCCGGTTGATCTAGTCAAATGAAGCTTTAAAACTGAAATATGAGTTGTCGGACATCGGTAAGTATATGTATATCCTGAAACTGATGAATGGTAAACATCCAGTACACAGAATCGATTCCAGTTCTGGAAGCACCCTGGTGTTTCTGTTTGCTTTCCGCACTCTTCACCGTTCGATTATTAGTAAGTTTGTAAGGTCACTGGATTTCACCTGAGTGTGTTTTACGTTTTCTAGTGTATTGCTTAAACACTGCTAGATTACGACTTCCCTGCCAACTTACCGTCGCATACTGATGTAACGATCTACAGTTGGCTGTGAATCTGTTCTAAGTAGTTCAACTGAATCCCAAAATTTTCCAATCTACTCAAAATTTGACTGCAGAATACTGGGTTAAGGTGCTAATAATTTAACAGCTCATAATATCTTTTATATATTTCTGGTTAATCACTGGCTTTATAATCAAGGAAAAAGTTTAACTTTTTCTCATATGTCAAGACCTGTTAAAAAACAATAAAAACTAACGGATACATAAATGTGACGGTGATTGTCAATATTTAGTTGAAGATAAGGATTTAGTTTATCTGCTGCACCACCACTGATTTTGCCCCATGCCACCTGGGATTTACAACCACAAACTACGGTTATTTCACGGACCCTAACCATACAGCCAACACCTTCCTAAACATCTAACCTCAAATAAATCACTCCCTGTAGTCGAACTAGGTGTTGATACTGACTAGGGGCATACCTCAAGAAGTTTTGTATTAGCACACGAAGCGTTCAGAGGACTGCCATTTGTCAGGATTTTGTCGTGTACATAATATGAGTTTGTAAAGGATCCTCTAGATAGATCAACCCTTTAAAGGTAAGATTATTAGCATTTAATGGGATCACATCTGTGATAAAATCATACAAATTGTTGAGAGTAGATAGCACTAACCAACGCCATTAAGTCAGTCCAAATATTACAATTCTAAAATGTTAGTAATATATCAGTCCTATTGAAGCATACCGTGTCTGTGTTAAAGTGTCTTGTTTTTAATTTGTTATTGATAATAATCAGGTGATATTTACGTTGCTGTGGGTGACCGTTCTTATTTTAATACCGAACACTGTGCCAGTCAATGTTTAGCATGGCGTCATCCTTGTTGATAATTCGCTAGTCCAGAAATCTATTTTAATTGAATATCTACTTGATGATTCCACATTTCCTGCAATCTGTTCACCTCTAAAATTTTAACCTACCCTTTAAAGTCCTAATTCATCTAGTTAAATAAGGGGATAAAAATAATTTGGTTTGAGCTTTTCTGAACTTCCTTTTATACATAAGGCTATAATATCTGTGAACCAGCAAATGTAATTATATTCATCATAATCAGTCGGTCGCATCGTAGAACCTCAGCCAGTCAGTCAGTAACAATGTGGAACTTCGTACGTGCGTAGAACCTGGTACGTATAAAATTGTTAGGTCGAATCCCAGAGTAGTAGAGATATAACACTCAGTGGTAATAGAAAAGTTTGGCTATCGAAGATACGATTCAAGAAAATATAAACCAGTGGAACAAAAAACTGTAGGGAATCCGTAAGCTTAGATTTTAGGGGTAGACAAAGAATGGCTGCACTTCGCTATCGCAAACGATTCTGAGTTATATCATTCAATGTTCCCAACCACTGGTTACGATAATCACGCGTCCTAATAAAGTAGTCTACATCTATTAACATATTCGCCACTACTGTTTTCACTAGTAAGAAATAGATTTTCGTTTCACAATTTTCACCTTTTTATGAAAGCTGCTAGAGAAGGAAATATGAAACAGCTTTACGATACAACGAAGAAACTATCAGGGAAATACAGTAAACCAGAGAGGCCGGTCAAAGACAAAGAAGGCAAGCCAATCACTGAAATTCAACAACAGCGGAACAGATGGGTAGAATACTTCGAGGAACTCCTGAATAGGCCGGCTCCAATGAATCCACCGGACATCGAAGCAGCACACATAGATCTTCCTATAGATGTCAATCCACCAACTACGGAAGAAATTAGAATGGCCGTCAGACAAATCAAGAACGGGAAAGCAGCAGGACCCGACAACATACCAGCTGAAGCACTGAAGTCAGACATCGAAGTAACTACAAACATGTTTCATCTTCTATTCAAGAAGATTTGGGAAGAAGAACAAGTGCCAATGGACTGGAAAGAAGGACACCTCGTCAAGATTTTAAAGAAAGGAGATCTGAGCAAGTGTGAAAATTACAGAGACATTACACTACTGTCAGTACCAGGAAAAGTCTTTAACAGAGTGCTGCTGAACCAGATGAAAGGCACAGTAGACGCTCAACTTCGAGATCAACAAGCTGGATTCCGTAAGGATCGGTCGTACACAGACCAAATTGCGACACTACGGATCATCGTCGTACAATCAATTGAGTGGAACTCGTCAATGTACATCAACTTCATTGATTATGAAAAGGCATTTGACAGTGTAGATAGGAGGTTATAGAAACTTCTTCGACACTACGGAGTTCCTGAGAAGATTGTCAACATTATCCGGAACTCATACGACGGACTACAGTGCAAAGTAGTACATGGAGGACAGCTGACAGACGCATTCCAAGTGAGGACCGGAGTAAGACAAGGCTGTCTACTCTCTCCGTTCCTCTTTCTTCTGGTGGTCGACTGGATTATGAAGACCTCGACATCTGAGGGCATACAATGGACATCTCAGAACCAGTTAGACGATTTGGACTTCGCAGATGACCGAGCCCTCCTATCACATACACACGAACAAATGAAGATAAAGACAGCTAGCGTAGCAGCAGTCTCTGCATCAGTTAGCCTCAACACACACAAAGGGAAAACCAAGGTCCTCAAGTACAACACGGAGAACAGCAATCCAATCACTCTTGATGGCGAAATTCTGGAAGATGTGGAACCCTTCACATACCTGGGAAGCATCATCGATAAACAAGGAGGTTCAGATGCGAGTATTAGCAAAGCAAGGACCTTATTCCTTCAATTAAAGAACATATGGAACTCAAAACGAATTTCAACCAATATCAAAGTCACAATCTTCAATACGAACGTCGAGACAGTTAGTTACAATGTACGGAGCTGAAACTTGGAGAACTACAACAACCACCATCAAGAAGGTACAAGTATTTATAAGTGGCTGTCTACACAGGATACTCAACATCCATTGACCGTATACTATCAGCAACAGCTTTCTGTAGGAGAGCATAAACCAGGTTCCAGCTGAAGAGGAAATTAAGAAAAGACGATGGAAATGGATAGAACATACTTTAGGGAAATCATCAAGCTGCACTACGAGACAAGCGCTAACTTGGAATCCTGAAGGGAGGCGGAAAAGAGGAAGGCCAAAGAACACATTACGTCGGGAAATAGAAGCGGATATGAAAAGGATGAATAAGAACTGGAAAGAGCTTGAAAGGATTGCCCAGGACAGGGTTGGATGGAGAATGCTGGTGAGCGGCCTATGCTCCTTCACGAGGAGTAACAGGCGTAAGTAAGTAAGTAAGGATAACTGTTATTTTGTCTTGCTAATGTTTTACATTTGATCTTTAAATAATAATTTAATCATAGTCAGAATTATTTTATCCCGCGCTACTGTGGTAACAACTAACCTATGCATAAAAAAACATTTTAATACCATCATGATTAACGTAAGTTCTTAACCTTCTGGTCTCTCAAACAAACATTAACCATACTTAGAAAGATGAGCTAACAGTTTGTAATATCGGAATATCACTCATCTGGATATTTCTTAGCTCGTCGTCGTGATTATCTTTACCAAAAATAAAAAAATAATTCTCGTAATAATTTTTAAGATGGTATATTATCTGATGTCTTACCCCGTACAGTCAACTACCTCTCTTTTTTTGCCATTTGCAGAGGTATGCTAGAAAGACGCGGATATCGCTCACTTCATATTAGTCGTTTACAATTGAAACGATGGTCATCTTATCTTGCTACTGCGTTTGCGGTACTTGATAACTTTCAATGTCTTTATTATTAATTATCACATGTTTAGATTCTCTCGTTTGTTTTTATTTCTGGTGGAATTTGGCTTCTTGAAAATAATAGAATCGAGTCTGAAATTATCGGCAGGCGATATTATTACGAAGAAGGAGTTTTGTTTATAATCATTGGGATACTATTGCTTCTTTCGCTTGTTTGTCAAGCTTTTATGATTCATCTATTGTTTGTTGCAAAAAAGCCATGGAGATTTACTGAAGTCAAGGTAAAGAGAGCAGTTGCACTGGTAAGGTATATGTTGATAAAAACATAATTATCTTATACAGTATTTAGTTTTTCTGTTTGCAGTGACAATTCCTCATATTTATTGTTTGTACCATGTGAAAACAATTAGAACAAAAGTACGTACATCTTGTTTTTACTTACAGCTTATGTTTCATTACTCACATACATGTTAGTTGAATAATATCTACTTATTAGTAGATATCTTGCTCTAACAATATTCGTGTAATCCTAATGTTTGCTTTAGCTTTTAAGATAATCTTTATATCAAATTATATTGTCACGTCCAACATAAAGCGACTTTTTCACTGTTTACTAGTGAGCTAGGCGTCTGAGAAGTTAATCTCATTTATAAAAACGTTTGTTGTAGATTATTCATTCGAATTCCATTCAGCAATTAGTATTGAAGTATTACCTCTTTAAGACTTTGAGCTTTCTGTATCCATCTAGAGACCATCTTAAATTTAGCCTTATCATATTACACATAAAAGTAAAGTTTGAAATTAACTTTTTATGGGTTGTCAAATAATTTCTTTTGCAGTTCAATCTTTTCTCCCCAGAATATTCTATTATGTATTTTGATAGTAAATCCAACTAATAATCATACTCTCCAGTTTATGTTCCAAATACCGTCGAATATTTTATTGGTAAAACGACTTTCTATTTGCATTACTTCTTTGAGAATATACAAAAATATCTTTAATATAGAGACTGTATTTTTTACATTTTGTTACTTGTATATATTATGAACTTTCACTGTTACGTCACTGTTACAACAAGATATCCTATTATTGAGGAACCCGTTAATATCTCCATTATTTTACCAAAAACATCCTAGTATTGAACTAAAGGTACATTGTTAGGAAATGTATGCTTGAGATGACAATTTTTCTTTGCTTAAAGTCATATTGGCAAAATCATGTGTAACATATAGCTGGAAAATTGTGAATGGATCAACATGAAAGTCTAGTTGTACTAAATAATATCATTTCCAATTATCTTTAATGTGTCTTTAAATTTTTTTGAGTTATCTACGTTATTCACTGGGGGTGGTTGATTAAAAAACTAATTTCTCTAGATGGTTTTTCAAACACATTAAAAGATAATGTCACTAAGAATGTAGCGTAAATGACGTAAAATATCTCTTATATGTTATTTTAAGTTCTTCCTTACATGTACCCGATATTCGGGTTTTTGTATTGTCAGGATTTCTAACAGCCATTTGATGGGCAGTTTTTCAGGTTCCTAACTTTGGTGACCCTAGTGGGTAGTAATTTTTGGTTCAGGTTCATCCACTTAATATCACGCCTGGTGCTTGATTGGCTTGTAGGAGCCAAACTGAGCATAAATTTGAGGTTTATAAGTCCTAAAATTTTAATAATTGAACCACTAGATGGTTGACGCATATTTTTGTAAAGATCTGATTGAATTATTTCACGGATATTAAACATCAGTATATAAAGTATACTTGTTAATATCCCTTCATAACTAAAACAACGTTAACGTTTTGTTTAACAGTTTTATCTGAGCGTTTTTAGAAAAAGAGTCCTTAAATAATATGAGTAAAATTTCAAGATTATTCTATTTTAAGCAGTGAAATATTTGCAAATGTAGTGCCTAATGTAAGATTATTATTTAACTTATTTCTTTTGACAATATTTGATTTATTTGTAGTTAATATGGTCAATTAAAGAACAAACTGAAGAGGCTTTGATCAGTTTGTACGGATTCGAACCTGATTTTACATCTGCATGGGATCATCTACAGTCTCAGGTGAGTACATATAGAATGATTGGTACCGGTTAATTTGTCTTTTTAGTGGACAACTAAGGATTAATACGACATATGTAAAAATGTTAACCAAATATTAGATATGTACAAAATATTCATGGTACTATTTCATAGTTACTGTTTTTTCAATTTCATTCGTTCTTTTTGAACTAAATTTTTCCTTTAAGATATGCCTCAGTAGAAAAATCTGGATTTATTTTGAGCGTTTTATTATGTGGTAATAAACTGAATTTCTTGCTTACTAATGGATGTTCTCTGCATCCATCTATTCCAATTAACTTGAAACGTACTGTCATCTTTTGCTTCTCTCTTGTTTTACTATACTTATAGTTTTACTATGAGATAATGAATTTTAATTCACACTAATATTATTATTTCTATCAAGAATGACTAGTTCAGAATAACAGTTAGGTGTAAATAACACGGATTAAATTTAAGGTTGATGAAGCGTCAACAGTTAAATGATTATTTTCAAATCATGTTAGTCTGAATAAGGAGTTGAAAATTTTGTTTATTTGATTTTGTGTTGTATTTAATAATTCGAATGTTAGTAAAACCATTCACTGGCAAATTCTATACTTCTTATTTAATACGAATTTAGGTCATATCGGTGTTCATTGTGACTTGGCATGACTATTGAAATGACAAATTTTATTATTATTATTATTATTATCGTATTTACTGGTCATGATAATTAAAGTTGATACATAGATTATATTCCGAGTTTTACAATTCTTCACTTCCTTTGAAATTATCCTGAATCATGAAAGTAATTCACATGCATATATTTATCATATTTAGGTCATTTATGCATAACTGTTGTCAAGATATACCTATGTCTAAACATATACGCACATTCGTTATCTAGTAGTTGTCTCCGTTGTACCCCATTAATCAAGTAATTAACTTACTGAATAAATACCAGAAACTTATACTTGAAAGTGAATTATTTATCCTCTTACTGTGCAATTTGCAAATAATACTTTAAGGTCACTCATTTCCATCATATTGAATCACAAGCGTATTGTGTGAAAACTCCATTTTTCACTTCTATGCATCAACATCAGATCATTTAAATTGTACTATTCTATTAAATAGTATTGTTTTATCGATTTTTTTCTACTTAATCAGTTGGTGATTAGCTTCCGCAAGTGTGATATACATTTATTATTTTCAGATTGTTAGTTCAGTTTATCATGATCCCCAAGTATCTGTAATTGAATTTACTTATTGTAAATGTTGGGTCTTAAGCTTAACGAGTTCACTTAGATTTGCGAACGAGAACGAAATTCGATGACCAATGACCAGTGAGCTAGCTATTGCTGCGCCCCAGCCCCGCTATAGTTATAACAAATCATATGCTGAGTATAGTTCATAGTCAATGGAATACAAGAATATTGTATATTATACAGAATAAATATCATACGAGAAAAGAAAAGAAATATTACATTGAGTAATCATTGCATTAAATAAAAAAAGGATGTAATGATGAATAAAACTCATATTAAGTAAATCAATCAAATATTGATTTTTCTTCCCATCATATCAGTGAAAATAGTAAAAAAAAACTTGTATTCTTTACGTTAGTGCGGGATTTTAGATCAAGTTATGATGGATGATATCTATTATCTATTAGAAAGGATCTAAAGTGGCAGTGCAATAATTCAAACTACTTTAAGCGGGATTTATCCATCTGTGGAAGATCTTATTTATAGTTGTGCACCGTTTGCATAATCTCTTTATATCTGTAACAGTTCATTTTCCGAGTCTAGAACGCTTAATGACTTTGTGTTCTATTATCACTGTTATCACACTATTGATCTCATATAGTTAAAAACACTTCCTAAATAATAATCAAGCTTTTAGTTGTGCTTGGACATAACAAAAACTTTAATTTATCTTAGGACAGCTTGTTCTGTTGTTAAAATATTCTTTAAATATACCTATTCATAGATTCGCGAAATTGCTTCATCTTTAAAGTGTAAAATAAATAGCAAATGGTAAGAACCTAAACAGTTGAATTTGATGTTTTCCATGGAATAATTAATATTTACTATGAGTTCGATGGAGAATGTTGATAGGTGGCCTATGCTCCTTCATCAGTGGTAACAGACACACGAACGCTTAACCTCTAGACCACTGATCTGGCATCCAACGATGTTAATGTCTAACTTCGACATATATCTAACTTCCGGAGATTTATATCCATAATGGCTGTTTTTCAATGACATCCCAAAAATTTACTTTGAATACCCATAGGATTGGTTAAAGCTAGACATTAGCACCATTGGATACCGACTCAGTGGTCTAGAGGTTAAGCATTCATGCGTAAGACCGATAGGTACTGGGTTCGAATCCTTCGGGTGGCATCGTGGATGCGCACTGCTGAGGAGTTTCATACTAGGACGAGACAGCTGTCCAATGCTTCCAGACTTTCCATGGTAGCCTAGCTTTAATTGACTCATGGATTCAACTATTAAACATTTTTATCTATTTTAACCAGTTCAACACAAAATTGTTGACTAACAAGAAAAATTATATTGATATTATATATATTCAAAACAGAGTGGACATCTGTGGTTGCGAGATTTGTCAGTGGCTATTCTCCAGATATTGCTTACTTTGTTGGAAGTTACAAGAAAGCTGGATTACATAATAGTATTTATGTTTTTTCTTATTAATTCTAACATCATATTTAAATACCTATGTGATTTGTAAATCAACCAAAGTATAATTTAAAGTATCGCCTTACAAAATAGCATAAAGAATTACTAAAATAAATGAACTGACACAACTATTCTTTCGTCCAAATAGTCATGATTTTATATCATAACATGAAGGGTGGATAAGACCAAAGCTATAGAAATGAAAAAAAGTGATTCATTGACGGCAATGAAAAGTTAGAGGAGAAGTACAAAGAGAACAGTTAAAAACGGGGCAAGACTTGAATAGATGCAGCTAAAGGAAAACAATGTGTAAATTCATCTGCATTGTAATTATTGGTTTTTGATTATATCACGAGTTTGTAACTAACTTATCTGATTGCCTTACAAATACAGCTGCCAAACATATAATTCCCTGCACGTTTCGAATCAACATCTAGCTGCGTCACAACGTAATCCCATCACCTAACCGCATCATCATTCCATTAAGCTATGATTCGATCACAGGGAAGTCCTACTCAATGCCTTCTCGCGATGGAGGTGTTGTTTACGAAGTTGAGAGAACAAAAAGCGAATATCCGGTGCCTTAACCGGGCTGGAAAACCCTGATTCCAAACCAATGGTGCACATGGATTCTAGCATCCTGAGGGAACAAATGGTGTATGAACCAATTGTCGGTGATCGGTTACCATGGGAATGCATCTACTTACGTTGCTCCACTGCCTTATGGGTTAAATCTCTATGTCAAAGGCTCGGGGTGTGGCCTCCTGAGAAAGTCAACTGTTTCACTTTGGGCACCCGGGTAGTATCCCAGCCTTCACACACACGAGCATTCTCCATCGAACTCGATCCTGGGCAGTCCTTTCCAGTTACTACTCATCCTTTTGATGTCTACTTCCAATAGTATAAATAATTTTTCGTAGTTATTATGTCTCCGGGTAATTGATTTTTACCATAAACAATTAATGTTGATTTATTTGGACAATATCGTTGAATTTATTAGTAAATGGTCAGTTTTTCAATTTAAGTCTTTAAACAAATTAACGTTTTAGTTAAATACATAATATTGACAAAGCAAATCCGTAAGATAGAGATGTACATTAGATGTAATTAGAATAAAAACTTATCAATTGTGTGCAGTTTGCACATTAGTTGTTTAAAGCTGTTATATTTAATCCTTTTGTTCCTTCTTTGTCTTATGTACTTAAACTCCTAAATTTACTTTGGATAAATTTTGATAGCGTACTAGGATATGACGTTTATGAAAATCATGTGACACCTTAAACAACGATTTAACTGCATACTAACTAACTGGTTAATAAAATTACACAAAAATGTGAAATATTCAAACTGATTTATTGGGAAGTGTACGAATAACAAGGATGGTAAAGACTGAACAACATTATCCAAATTACCCTCATTATTACAAATAGAATTGATATCACCCGAAATAGATCTCATGTGAGGATCAGCTCCATAGTAAAGATTAATATTTTAATAATCCGTGATCAGGTTGTTCACAGTGTATCGCATCAACCTAATCTCATGATCCTAATAAACTTGGTCTTTGCATCATGCTTTCTAAAGACTATAGATTAGTCCTTGGAGCTAGTTATCGTTTTATTTCGTATTCTCAGTCAATGAAATCACAATCATCATATAAGTTATGATTGACAATTTTAGAAGTGAAAATGGTTTACATAAGCGAATAGTTCAAGTCAATGTTTAAAGCGTATCACTTTATTGTTGATATTCTGTTTGGAAGCTATTATTTTAGAATTACACTCCAATGCTGTATGTATCAATAAACAATAATGATAAATCAGGTGAATGTTTGGTGTAAAAAAAGACATGCTAAGTAGTTGTTCGTGAATATCTAATTAAATGTGTGGTCATGAATACTCGAACCTTAAGGCCATATGGAAACCACGTTTACGTTTGTACTTCTCGACCTGACTTAAGACTGTGATGCTTTCATTTTTACGCAATACGTAATATTCTACAGGATTTCCTTTGTTAGGCATTACCGTAGTCACAATTAACTTGAGTCAGTATTGTATACTGTTCCCTAGAATCCCTACTCTTTTGGTTTCATCCGTTGGTATATATTTAAAAATACACTGTGATTTTTTAATCTTTGGTCTCGCTTGTATTAGTTTCTTATAACTCTAATTCTCTGTAATCTAAAAAGGCACATATCTTTTACCAATGTGCTTGTTACTAATAACTTTTCTTCCATCAAGGCTCATGTTTATTTATCCTTTGTAGTGAACTTGCATCTAGGAAAATTTTCATTGAATTAGCGACCAGCTATTTGTCAACACGCAGTAACCCAAGTACATTCATTCTTCATCTTTCCGTAGTTCCTGAACACCGAAATTCCCTTAAATCTTTTAGTCTTATTTTTGTACATCTGCTCTTTCCCACTAGTATTTATACTGTTACCACTTTTACTACTCTGCAATTTGTTTTTATAATTTTATCTCACTGCGCTGATATATTGTGACGATTCGAACCGACACTCAGTTGACAGGTTTTACGTTTAATATGACTGATATGAATGATAAAAAAATCTGGTAATTCACTGTCTTAATGTTACTCGAATGAATTAATAGTGATGTGTAAGTCGCTAAATAAAATGCTTTCGAATCTCAGTAGTAACACTAAAACTCTAAAACAAAATCTGGCCTTTTGTTAATCTTAAAAGTCTTTATTCACAAAAACATTCTATCAGTAAGGGGTTGTGAATACTGTTGAATTTGGCTGAAATCATGAAGTGATCAATGTTAGGCCACCATCACGCGAGACCGAAAGTTCTGGAACTGTGTCCTGTGTGTGGGGTCGTGGATGTACGCGGCTGAGGAGTTTCATATTAGAACGAAACCTCTGTTCAGTGCTTCCAGGTTTTCACTGGTGGTCTAACATTGGTCGGTTCGTGATTTCAACAAAAAACATTTTAATCTTTGGAAGAATAAACCTTAAAATTGGGTAAATAATAAACATTTTAGTGTAAATAAGTTATATGCTTCTTCAGTAATTACGCTGTTTCTGTGTATCAGATTTTTCTACAATGCAATCTAAATTCTTCTCTAACTCTACATTCTACATTTCTATTTACTAAAACAAAAATGAAAGGTTTACAATAATTGAAGAAAATATTACATTTCATTCAACGCGGATGCTCAACAATTTGTCAAGTTCACCAAATGGTTTTTCTCTGAAAATATGTTATTGTTTAAGCATGTATAGAAAAGTATTGACAGATTATAGGACGTCATGGTTTAATTTTATTTTCATATTAATTTAATTAAATTTAGAGTGAATGTTGTGGATTTTCGGGTCCTCAAATATATGCCTCTTCAAAATGGAAATACAGTCAACCTAATTCTTCAACTTTTATCAGCTTAGTACCTGATTCTTGTCTTACACTTAAAAGTTTAGAAGAACAAGTTCTTGAAGATATAAAAACTAAGTCTGATTATGAAGAACCTAGACAAGTGACTTTTCAAAAAGTAAGTTATATTAAATCGTATAAATAATATATATTTGTGTAAATATGTTCAATTTTCGTACAAAAATATAAAATTAGTTTATTCACTTCAAAATATGACATCTTTAGCCTCCAACCATCGACTTCTGCTGTTTTACAAACACATCATTTAAAATAGTGACTGGATTCGTACCGCATATTCCTTCATCTACTTTAGAGCTTCTAGTTTTTTTTCTTCACTAGGACATTTCTTGAGGTAAGAGATAATACAATCTGCTAAACACTGGACTAGGTTAAATCTTTCGTAGTTTTTTGTCAAGCGTTTTGAATGCCATCAAGCTCACTGATTATTTCATCACATTCAAAATCTGACTGTTAGTGTCTCTGAGCCACTTAAATGAGAGGTTATAGCGTCGATATGTGGTTCTAGTCGTAAATAAAAATAAATTCTATGCATAGGTTGGTTAAAGAAGACAATTTTTGTGGTCACTAAAGCCCACGAAGAGTTTAATACATATCATAGTATGTCAGACACCATGCAAACTCATTTAACGCAGTGACAGTTGTCTTTCATCCTATTTGTTCATGATTACATCAAATTATTTGGACTCATGTTCGAGCTAAGGAAGGAAGACTTCGTGCAGTACATAGACAGTGACCTTATCAGAAGTTGATTTTAACCAGAAATGGGTTGTCGTATGCGGAAAACTACAGATTACAACTCCCATTATCCAACTTTTTAACCAACAGGCTCCGACTGATCGTTCGGAAAATCTCTTTGTCCCTAGTTTTCCGTTCTGCACACCACAATAGATGTTAGACAAGTTTTGATAAAGCCATTCATTTGGTACAATTCATTGTTATTTCGACACGAGTTAAGATGTATTGAAGCGTGGACAGATATAGTGGAAAAAGTAAATACTTATTTTGACTAAATTTCCTTTCTTATATCCACCTAATTGATTATTATCCTAGGTCCAGTCAACTAATCCTGCTTTTGATATGGCAAGTAGTAATTATTGTCTTCAGAAAGATCTCTTCACAAGGCTATCCATTGGAACTGTATATAAAAATATGCTCATATTCGTTTAATTAAATTTCATTAATATTCCATCCAAGATTTATTAGTTAAAAATATTCCAGAGAATAATGTATAATGGTGCTAATAATGTTGATATATTTAATACCATGTTAAAACCTTAGACGTCCGATTTGGTCGAATGCTTCAACCAAAGTGCAGGAAAAAGTATCGTTGTATATATATATATATATATATATATATATATAATCTCAACAATTTAATGATTTTTCCTTCATTTATGATTCACTTTTAAATCAAAATGACCAGTCATTCATACACCTAGTATCCATGTTTATCACCATGAAAGTCTCTGTTACTTTCCTTCTAATTAACATAATTTTCGAATATTTTTCTTTCCTATTTCAAAGGGATGCGCAGAATTTCTTTATACTCATATAGAAGGTGTTCTAAGCGGTTCGTTTATCGTACCAGTTATTTCTCTTGTGATTGTAGTGAGTTTGTTTGTCCATAGATGCAACATAGTAATCATGTAAATTCTTGTATTTTTATATATCATATATACTTCATTTAATTTTGTAGGATTTCTTTGGGTCCAATTATTCTTTCTTTTTGTAAGTTCAAGTTGATTTAGCACCTAAATGCCCTGGTATGGCCGAGAGCAGGGTAGGCTCGCCCTCCCTCTCGAAATACTCTCATACGGCCACGCGTATACAGCCTCTGGTAGGGAAGTCCTACTCACTGCCTTCTCGTGGCGGAGGTGTTGTTTACGAAAATGAGAGGACGAAAAGCGAATGTCCGGCGCTTTAACTGGATCCCAAATCAATGGTGCACATGGGCTCCAGTATCCTGCGTGAACAAATGGCGTATGAACCAATTGTTGGTCACTGGCTACCATGGGACTGCATCTCCTCACGATGTTCCACTGCCTTGTGGGTTAGACCTTTAAATCGGAGGCTCGGGATGTGGCCCCCTAGGAAAACCACCTGCTTCGGTCTGGGCACCCGGGCAGTATTTCAGCCCACACACAAAAACATGATGAACTGCCTACTTATGGAAAATATTCTCTTCGCCCCGACTAACAATGAAATGACTCGCATTATTATTATTATTATTATTATTATTATTATTATTATTATTATTTACTGCGTCATTCATTCACTCCCTTTTATTCCTACTCTATCTATCCTTATTTTCCGACTTGTACAGCAGCTCGCCTATGGTGAAAATTCGGCTCTATCTAAACGTTCTCGAGTCACTGCCTGGTTGAAAATTGTATGTTACCACCGAATACGAGTAGTGAAGCAGTATTTGTGAAACCACGTGCACCATTCAAACTGGTTGCCTTCAACGTTCGCACACTTATGCAGGTCGGACAACAGATAAGGCTGGCTATGTTTTTGGAAAGTCTTAATATTGACGTTTGTTGTCTATCAGAGATCCATATTCAAGACTCTAGTGAAGTACTACAAATTCGCTCTCCATTTGTCACTCTAAAAAGCTTGTTTTACGTGCGTTTATCCGGGGACCCTGTGGCATCTTCATCTGGTCTTGCTGGCTTTGGTGTCGCACTAAGCGCTAGAGCTGAGGCATCACTAGTCGACTGTATCCCCATTAACAGTTGGTTATGGGCTGTTAGATTAGAAAGTTCCATCAAAGTGAGAAGAAATCGGCGTGAGAAACGATGTCTTTTCGTCATCTCCGCCTATGCCCCGACAGATTGCAGCCCGGATGTAATCAAGGATGAATTTTACCACCAGTTAACTGTTCTTCTCCGGAAAGTGCGTTCAACAGATATTGTAGTACTAGCCGGAGACTTGAATGCTCAGGTCGGGCGTTTAGGCACAGAAGAGAGTCGTTTAGGTGGTCGATGGTGACTTGTTGGTCGCAGGACAGGTGACGGGGAACGTCTACTGCAACTGTGCACAGACCACAACCTGTTTCTGGCTAGCACTAACTTTCGGCAGTCATCGCCGATATGCCACCTGGCGTCCTCCTTCTACATCTCAAGCCTGGACTCAGATTGATCACACCACGATCAGCTACCGCTGGCGTGGTTGTGTACAAGACTGCCGCTCCTTTTAGAGTGCCTATCTGGACTCTGATCATGCTCTGGTCTGCGCCAATCTTACCTTACTTTTCAGTGGCCAACGAAGTGACCGCCACCAAAGGATTGATGTTAGCAAGTTGGTTGCAACTTCTGTTGCTAGTAAGTATCGAACCGAGCTAGCTACCATTCCACCGAAAAGTATATATGAGCATTGGTTGCAATTGCATGACGCCATGAAAATGGCGAGTAAAGTCACTTGTAGGTTCGCGAAACGTCCCGTTTACAAGCACTGGGATTCTTCAGGCTCCTTACAACTCATTGAAGCCCGTCAGTCTACTCCGGTTGACCGTGAGTTTGACCACAAACGAAGGGTGTTACGTATTGAAATTGGGCAAAGCTTGCGTAAGGACCGAGAAGCCTGGTGGTCGGAGCGTGCTAATGAGCTGGAAGCAGCAGCTGCATCTGGTAATTACTGGAGGCTCTTCCAACTCATCCTAGCCACTGGCAGCAAGAAGTCTGATGTGAGCGAAACAATCTGCGAGGATGACGGGATGCCAATCACTAATATCCATCGACGTCTTGGACGAAGGGCAGTTCAACTGGCCTACTGCTCCGGCAACATCGGTCAGACTGTCCTGCCCTCCACGGCCGGTGACGACTGATCCATCAAATGAGGCGGAAGTCCGCAAGGAACTCCAACTCTTGAAGCGCTACAAATCACCGGGCCCGGATGCCTTACCTCCGACTCTTTTTAGAGATGGTGGTGATTTTCTGGCTAGGGAACTGACGGCGTTGTTTACAAAGGTCTGTGAACTAGAGAGTGTACCAACGTCATGGAATGAGTCGATAGTTGTCCCTATCTTTAGAAAGGGTTCACGTCGTTCCTATAACAAATATCGGGGGATAAGTCTACTTCCGATTGCGTCCAAAATATTGGCTTCCGTCATACTTCGTAGGTTGTTCAAAACCCGAGAAGGATTGACTCGCTAGGAGCAGACTGGGTTTCGTTCTGATTGAGGATGTATTGATCATATCTTCACCCTCCGCCAAATGTTAAAACACCGCCATACTTATTAAAGGCCAGCAATCGTCGTGTTTCTCGACATCAGGGCTGCCTTCGATTCGTTGGACAGAACTGTTCTCTGGGATTGTCTATTGAAGAAGAGTGTGCCTGAGAAGTTTATTAACATCCTAAAGGCCCTATATACAAACACCTCAGGCAGAGTGAGGGCATACAACCACCTTTCTCCATTGTTCCATTCGAGCAGTGGGGTTAGATAGGGTTGCCCAATCTCACCATTCCTCTTCAACTTGCTATCGATGACGTTCTGGAAACAGCTCTGATGGATGCAAGTAATGGCGGTGTGGATCTGTTGCCTGGGGAGGGACTTCTCAATCTTGAGTATGCGGATGATATTGTCTTACTGTGCGATAATACCCAAGCCATGCAACTCACACTTAATCAGTTGGCAATTAGTGTCTTCAGGTATGGTGTGTGCATTGCACCTTCGAAGTGCAAAGTACTTCTACAAGACTGGCAGGATTCTAATCCCGTACTCACTCTGGACGGTGAGCAGATAGAAGTGGTCGAAAAGTTCGTGTATCTAGGTAGCTGCATAAGTAAGTGCTGGTGGTGGCGTGAGTGATGAGATCAATGCACGTATAGTGTTAGTGGGACATAGATTGGACCAAAGCATGCTCAATGCACGATTGCTTTGGCGCACGCTGATTGGCTGATTCTTATCCAATCAGCGCTAGTCGATACAAGGAGAAGATTCTAGATTCTTCTTATGTAAAAAGCTATAAATATACTAACGGTTTTCCTATTTTGCTTCTTGCTTCCATCTAACTTTGTTATTTGGAATATAATCTCTGTCCTGTTCAACCGTGTTCTGATTTGGGGCCTTGTCGAGTGAATTGGTGTCCGAGAATACTAAGCAATAGGAATATAACAGTGGCGACGAGGAAAAAGGAAAATAAATTCAATATGTCCATATCAGATGACCAGCTTAACCGAATACTACAACAATAGCAACAACAATTAGATGCACAAATGCGGTTGTTGGAGACTCTGACTCAACAACTCAACTTCCACTACTCGAGTTCACATGCTATTACAAGTACGTCTTGTGATGCAGTTGTTAGCAACATCTCAGAATTCATCTGTGATCCCGAAAGCGGAAATACTTTTCTCACATGGTTCAAACGTTGGGAAGATACATTTAGAATAGAATTCTGTAACCAAGACGACGCGTGGAAGACTCGATTGTTGGTACGTAAATTGGGAATTAATGAACATGCACGCTATGCTGACCATATATTGCCAAAGTTACCTCGAGATCTCAGTTTCGAGGAGACGATAATTCAATTGTCAGAGTTATTCGGTGAATCCTCCTCATTGTTTAGTATTCGACACCAGTGTCTAAATTTGGTGAAACGCGAAGGCGATGAATATGGTGTTTTAGCAGACATCGTCAACAGAGGATGTGAACGGTTCAAGTTACGCTCGTTGACAGAAGACCAATTTAAATGCCTAATATTAATCAAAGCTCTTCAGTCACCACAAGATGCTGAGATCAGGACTAGACTTTTGGCTCGACTAGATCAAGACCCAAACGTCACACTCAGAACGTGGACAGATGAGTGTAAGCGGCTACAAAGCATCAGACACGACAACGAGTTGATTGAACAGGTAAATCCTAATTTAACCTGCAGTAGTGTCAATGCTATTACTAGGTTAAAAGTTAAGAAGCCGATAACAACTCGTAACAAACCAACGACTGCATGCTGGTTATGTGGTGATTGGCATTATGTACGATTCTGTCCATTTAAGAAGCATATATGTCAGGTGTGCAACAAACATGGACATAAAGAAGGTCATTGTCCACCGAACCGTACGTCTCATGCCAAAAAGAAGCATAAACGTTCTCGACATGTGAAATCAGCCGAGTCTAAATCTCTTTCTCTGGTAGCTGCCTTTCAAACAAACTATGACATTCGGAGAAAGTATGTTACCATCCAGATAAACGGCATATCAGCTCGTCTTCAGTCAGTCAGTCAGCTGCAACATAGGACCAGGCACGTTTATGCATCGGTCCAAGTTGCCATACCGCATTAGCACAACAAGATGAACACCGGATTCATAGAAGTAGTTAATTCAGTGGTGGTAATATATAGAAGATTGTGTATAAGGAGATAGTACAGGAAGAAAGAATTAGTTCCTAGAAAGAAAGATTTGAAGTGATTTTAATCTCTTAGTTTAAAGGAAGACAGAGAGTGTATACACCTACGCCATTGTGATCGATTCTGAGCCATGTCACCAAGTCTCCAACCATTGGTTACGATAGTCACGCGGACCCCAACCAGGTAGTCTGCATCTACCAACATGGCTCAAACCAGAAGTTAGTGACTTCAAGCACTGATGCCACGTTTTGGTTTGGCTGC